CACAGAATTACTAAGGGAAACCACCAATGTCTTCCAACTTTCTGGCAATGAACTGAGAAGTAACAATGCCTGCAACTCATTATCAAGAGACATTTTTATAGAGGATAACTGGTTAGTAATACTCTGCATTTCATTCAAATGCTCAACAATAGAAGCACCCTCTCTATATTTTAGGTTCACAAGTTTTCCGATTAAAAAGGCTTTGTTGCTAACTGTTTTTCTTTCATAGAGACTTTCTAATTTTTTCCAAAGAGAATATGCAGAAATTTCAGTAGAAACATGGTGAAAGACACTATCATCAAGCCACTGTCTAATAAACCCAATTGTTTTTCGATCTAACATTTTCCACTCATCATCTGTCATAGTTATAGGTTTTGCACTATCCCCTTGCAAAGGTCCATACAAATCTTTGCAATGCAAGAGATCTTCCATTCTTGGTTTCTATATCATCCAATTATTTCCATTCAAACTAATCATGCGAGAAATATTACTAGCCTCCATGTTCAAATACTAGTTGATGGGGATATAAAGAAGAATAACCTTTGTATATGAACAAATACTAGAAGACCATAATACACAGTGGAATTAAATAGAAACACAATCAAATAAAACACCAAGATATACGTGGAAAACCCCTTTAATGTGAAGGGTAAAAACCACGGGGCAAACTAGAGATAATCCAATATGAGAATAATGAATATACAAATCTCAATCTCTTGCCCTAAACCCTAGCAACAACCACAAGAGAATAACTGGGATACAAGGATCACGTCACTGCCCACAATATCTAAAACCTCCCCAAGTAATCACAGCAAGAGTCTACTGTAGATTTGATCTAACTTGATATGAGAACACTGCTAGATGATTGAGAATAGTCTCTCAGTGTTGTCCTTGTCTTCTTCCCTTTCTTTCTCTTCCTTTTTTGCCTTGTTCTCCTTCTTCTCTTTAGAATCTCGTGGCCCTCAAGATCTGCCTCGTTGTTGCCTTTTTATAGCCTTTTTCTGCTTCTAAAACGCAGCCACAACACCCCCCTAATCTTAATTAGGGTTAGGTTAAGAGGGGGTGTGGGCTGTGGGTTGCCCTAGCCCACATGGGCTATCGGCCCAACAACAATGACTCCAAAAGTTCACTCCTAACCGCCAATAAGCCATTAGCATCAAGGTAAACAAGTTGTTAGGTGTTGGTTTTATATTCGAGATGTAATATCCCCAGTAACTTACAAATATTTTATTTATTAAAAAATCTAATGAAAACTAACATATGTACATTGACCATTCCGATCTCAATAAGGCATGCCAAAAGGATAGCTATCTTTTTTCAGATTGATGGTCGATGCCACCTTGGGTTATGAGTTGTTGATATTCATTTATGCTCTCTTGGGATACAATTAGATCAAGATAGCTCCAAAAGCTAAAGAACACACCTCACTCATTACCGACCGAGAAACAAACTGCTATCGAGTTATGTCTTTCGAGCTAAAGAACACTAAGGCAACTTACTAGAAGATGATGAACAAGATATACAAGCACCAAATTGTGAGAAATATTAAAGCCTATATGGATAACATAATTGTAAAAGTAAGATGGCCGACGTGCATCTAGTCGACCTGGTAGAGACATTCCAAACATTAAAAAAATTTCAGATGCGTCTAAACTTGGCTAAGTGTGTATTTAGAGTTAACTTAGTAAGTTCCTCGGTCTCGTTATACACCAAGAATAAATGATATTCTCGAGAAGGTGTGAGCTATATTGGATATGCATCCACCTCGGTCAATCAAAGAGATATAACAAACGATAAGTCATTTGACAATCATTAGTTGGTTCTTATCTAAATTGGCAATAAATATCTTCTATTCTTTATGTCATTTGGTAAGCTTGGTTAGTTTAGTGTCCAATAATTGTACAAGGAATGTCACGAGAGATAATCTCATCGAAAAGCACTTGAGGTGCCTAGGTTGGCCAACCTCGACCCGACCTCCTCGGTGAGTGCCTTCGGCGACCAGGTTGGTTAGTCTTAACCTGACCTCCTCAACGAGCTCCTAACTCAACCAGATCGATTAAGTATTTAGGATCTCCATCCACTTCCACATGGCCTCTGTGTCGAGCGGCCCAACGACTGCACTTCAGACCTCTCTATAAGAGCCCTTGAAGTATGGGCTATGGGATAAACAATAGAAAATATATTCTCAACTAATGACAGCTCGATATATTATAATACATGTGGTTGCTTAGTGGGCATAAAGGAGATAAAGTCAACCCTTTTGGTTTGCCAACATGGACATTAGTCAAAAGGGGTGATTATCGATTGTTTCCTCGATAAATATTTTATGAGATTCTTTCCTCAAGGGGCATTAGTGAAATGCTCTAGAGGTATCTCAACGATCATCTCATCCTTCTAAGTATATAGATCTGAATCATGTGAAGTTAACTCACACGTCACTAATTTTTTCTCAAATAAATATTTTCTAAAAAATTAAACAAATGTATCGATAAAAGATTACTTTGGATACTTAAAATGTTATTGTATGTAGAAGGGCACGCCACACGCAACATAGTTGCCTTGTGCAACATCGGGTGAGACATGCACAAATATACATTTTCTACATTTGAGTTGTTGATCACAGCACAAGTGGATACACGTCATGGTAAATGGTAGGTTCCGATCTCACTCGGCTGGACACGATTGGATCGGGTCATGCTTGCCCACGACTAATCAAAGTTGGACCGACACTTGTTGACCGATTCGGACTGGTTTAGCCCACAATTAGTTTTAAGTTTTATGCTCGGTTACGTGGGAAAAAGATGATGCTTTGCATCATTCCCAAATAACATTGAAACTAAATATAATTCATTCCCAGAAGTGCCACTTCAAATAGTGGTAGTCGGTTTACCTTAACCAGATAAAGCCGAGCAGGGATGCGTCCTTTTTGGCCCGATCTCACCGGACGCTGCGCGGTAAGGCGCAGTCACCAACACAATCGAGTGCATAAATAGACGGAGGAGAGGTTGCGAGAGAACCATCAACTGCGCCTTTCACCGCCATTCTCACGGCAACAAATCCTTCGACCCATCGATTTCCAGGTGAAAAGATATCCAAATCCCGACTCTCCTCACTCTTCTTCTTTTGTTTTTCCTGACGTTTTTTCATTATTATTTCAACGCAAGATCGATATATTCTTCTTCTTTGCTGGCTACAATCTTTCAGACGAGGAGGCGATGGCGGCGAAAGATACAGGTTTGTTTTATTTTTTTTCTTGTTGGTTCTACAGAGATTGAGAAGTTTAATTGTACGTTAGAGGTTTTGTATTAATCGAGGGATTTAATATTTTCGCGATTTTTTTGGGGTATGATTTGATGTTCTTTGTTGTTTGGGGGGATTGCTTTGGTGTTCTTTAACCCCCCCACCCCTCTTGATGAGTTTAGATTCTTCCAATGACGTCGCTCGACTGGGAGCGTTAGGGACAGAAGAAGCCCTGACTCGCGTTCGGAACCCCCCTCGAGTTTACAGATGCGGCAAGTGCCGAACCCATGTCTCGCGTTCCGATGACATCCTAGCAGAAATACAGGTGAAGCCCTTATTACTCTTTTGCTAATCGGACTAAATAGTAATGATTCGGAATAGCTGCTTTGGTGACACGAACAGATGGGCACATGATATTAGCTCAAGTTTCTGTTTTCCTCGTTGCATCTTAATTTCTTTCAGTCATTCCTGCACGGTAGGTTACAAGAAGAACACTGGTGTGTTAGTCTCATGGGTCATGGAATTTAGGGAAATTGTTTGCATCAATACGAGTTGGTGTAACCATGAAATTGTGTTTGTGAGATTTGGTGACATTTGAAGATCATGATAATAAACTTTAGTATATTTTGTTCCAAGTAATCCCTTTAGGAGACCAATCTATTTCTCACATTTGATGAATTAGCGATGTGACCTCTTTTCCACGCTTCATTAAATTTTGCTCAGGAGCATTATGGGCCTGCGATTCTGTTTTATCGTGCCAAGAACATATATTTGGGACCAGAGCAAGGCTGGCGGCGACTGAGAGGAGGACTGTCTAAGGTTGCCGATGTCTTCTGCCGTGGATGCGATGAGAACTTGGGATGGAAGTATGTAAGAGCTCCTGATGTGGCGAACAAGGTTAAAGAAGGGAAGTTCTCCATTGACAATACAAAGATTGTCGTGGTGTAAAGGTGTAAATCGATGGTGTGTTGAATAATGTGGTTCTGCGTGATCCTGGATCTTTGGATAGATTGATAGATAGATACCCTCATCTATTCTTGTACGTAAGTTAACCTTCCCATCGTAGTGTGTGCTTTAAGCATTTTGCCTGTTGACAACTGTTGGTCTCTGTAAATATCGGTGACGTTGTTCCTCCAATCATGAAAACATTTTTATTTGTCTCGTGTGCTTTACCCATTTAAACAATGCTTCATGAGTTGCTTTTGCTGCATGGGTTTTGAATTGCCCACGCCTCACCTCATGAAATGGTCTATCATATCTTTTAACTTCAAGGGTTTATCGTACTCAACTGCTGTAGACGATGAACTTCTTATTTCCAAGAGTTCATGTCTGCGCGAGTACTAAGGTTTTCCTTTTATAAGCCACGAGTTGCTGTCGGCGAGGGTACGCCCTTTTTGGAAGTCAGACCGACGGGACAAGCTTGTCTGCGACCACATCAGTAATAATGTCAGCCTATGTGGTGCCACATCATCACTCGACAAGATAGACCCTTTGTGGCCTATTGCCACACTACGGACCGATGCGTAGTGGCGACGGGCAACGTCGTGCGGTGACGGCGACGTTCTGCACCGTCGACGCATAGCAATTGTGATACGCAGCGTCGGTGGGCTTGTAGCAGTGGCCATGACATGCAGCAGTGGCAGCACGCTATGACGTCGAGACGCGACGACGAGCTTGAAATGTCGCGATCGTCTCCCATCGGTATGTCCTCTGCATTCAGTGCTCTGAGCCCTACTCTGTTCTATCCCAGGCTCTCCTAATATAAACCTTTTTGTGACATGATCCAACACAACCTACCTAAAATGCTTACTAACATAACAGCGTCGCAGTGCTCTGTAGCCAGCTTGCTACTTATCCGACTACAAAAACTATGCAGTGTGGCAGTCATTGCGCCGCTTGCGGTTCAGCAGTTTGTGCACGTCTCTTATCTGACTAAATGCCGCAGACGCTACACGGTTGTATGTTTCGTGCAGCAGGGAACTCATCTGACTCCACATGTGCTGCAAAAGCTCCACATGTGTTTGTGCAGTCTTCTGATGATCTGAGGACTACATGTTACAGTTCCGCACAGTTGCACGGCCATGCGGTAGAAGCGAACAATTCACCCGCGCAGGCCAGCAGAGTGAATCGCATTAAATACGAGCAGCGTTGCAGGCCGCGGCATTAATGCGCTTCGCTGGCCGTGAGCAGCGAGCAGCTCACCTTCAATGCGTGGCAGGGAGGAGCGGCAGGGGGGCCAACTTCTACAGCCGAGCTATTAACCCCAGCACTACAAGAACAACAAGCCAAAGTGTACTTCTCATCGAGCTTTGGATTACTCATGAGGAAGAAGAAGAAGAACGGAGGATGGATCTGATCGTCTTATAGATGTTATTAGCTAACCCATAGGCAACACAAACCACTCAAGGACAACAGAATATAGATATATATATAAACAACAAGACAACGCGCGGTTTGGCCTATTTGTATCGGAAGCTATAGATTCTTGAGAGGTTTCCTTTTGTATGACATGGAGGAAAAAGAACAGTAAAGGCACAGAAGTAAATTCTGGGTTTGCTTTGGTTTGGTTTGGTTTGGAGAGGGAGTCAATGCCCGAACCACACAACCACCATCGCTCTGTGTTGAAGAAGACGAACCTAAAACTACGTGATGACTCGGTCACACCCGCGGTTCGTTCTTGACTCGGTCTCTATTTATTTGACCTTTCCCTTTCCGAGTTGTATACGGCCGGCTTCACTCAGATCTCGCTGTGGACTGCAGCCTTGATCTTTTGAACCGTGCATGAGATGAGGCCGTTGACGGTGTCCACCGTCTCCGCCGTAAGCTTTTCCGTCGGCTGGCCGTTCACCAGAATCTGGAACCCGATGGTCAGCAGCGAACCGGAGCCGGCGGTGGCGGCGCCGTCGCTGTGGTGCTCTTCGGTGAGCTCTCCTCGGTAGCCGGCGCCATCGGGGACGATGGCGAAACCGGAAGGGAGGAGGGCGACGTGGGCGGAGTCGCCGCCGTTCATCACTAGGTGCATGGCTGGGATGTCCACCGGCGCGTACACCAGCATTGCGCCGGAAGCGTCGGTGTAGGTCTCCTGCAGTAGCATCATGCTGGTTTGGCTGGCGTTCGTGGCCTGCGCGTCACCGGGATCACAAGTTATGTTCGTGCAGCACACCGTGGACGATGAGGGTTAAAGAGGGGGCGGGGAGGGAGGGAGAGAGAGAGAGACAGGCAGGGTTCGCTTACAGTGGCCCATATGAGGGAGACGCGGTTGGCTGCTTCCTGGCCTTTGGCGATGTGCGCCATCTCGCACATCGGCCCGCCGTTGGAGAGGATGTCCCACTTGCTGCGGAATCTGGTCTCGCATAGGAAGTCGAACAGCCGCTTGGGCGGCGCGGGGATCCACACCGATGTGGCCACGCTGAGCACCAACCCCGCCGGCTCACCCGGTACGTTCACGCTCATCCTCGACATCACCCGCACGTCCTCCCCGATGGTCTCCGACGCCAGCTTGCTCCACCCATGCGCGGGCGACGCGCAGACCCCGGCGCAGAAGGCGTTGGTCATCCGACGCGCCAGCTTCAACATGCTCCTCTGCCCGCTCGCCGTTATCGATGCTGTCGAGATCACAATATCGTAAGAATCAGTCAAACGACGCTGTTCACGATGCTTCAGAGATCAAGTGGCTGGCTCCTTACCAGTCTCGTCGCGGGCCACGGCGGTGGAGGACACGAGGGTGGCAAGGCACTCGCACTGGCGCTGTAGGGTGGCAACCCAGCGTCCGGCGCCGAACGCCTGGCCGGAGCGGAGCAGCGGGCGATACAGATGATGCACTTGGCCTTCGTCGTACTCCGCGTGCTCCACCCAGGTGACCTGCCAATTCAATCAAACAATGATACCGCCATTTGGTCTAATCGTTAGTACTTCATCTTAATACATCTACTTCTTTCATATTTCTCATTTATTATTTGTGCAGGACATGAACACGAAGCATTCATACCTCCACAGGTACGTAAAGGGCAACTAAGAAGGAGAAGATGTTGTGCAGTGGGGATGGCATTAAAGAAATTGGATAAAAGGGATAACGACACACAGACAAAAATGTTGATCAAGACTCAAGTCCCGAGGTAGTAGGAGGAAGATCTAAATGAGATTTTTCTTGTGATCGAATAAGAAAGATTTTGCTCGGCTAAAGACAGGGAGAGGAGGACCTTGGAGTAGCCATCCGGCATGTCTTGCACCAGGCAACCAGACGGCAGCCTCCTGCAGTTAGCAGAAGAGAGATCTGCTCTGATGCCGTCAACGGCGACATCGACCACGGCCCAAACGCCCTCCGCGTGTTGCTTGCAGAACCTGAGAAAGCTCACCTCGCGCACTGCCACCAGCGGGGAGAGGACGTGAAGCTCCGCCTGCATCTGAACCATTCGCAAAGCTCGGTGTCAGAAAGAAACCCATGGTATTTGTGAAGGCAACACATTACACAGTGCAACGATTGGCTCACGAGTTGGAGGGCGCCGTCTCTTGTTCCACTCACGCCGCTGGATATCAACTCCGTGGTGGTGGCCTTGGCCACGATACTTGGGAACATATGAACCCAACGACTCTGCGTTACGGACAAGAAGACATGTCACGAAGCTGAAGCTATCCATCCACCATCGGAGAAGTAGGATTAACAGATCATAACTTACCGCATCCATTAGGGTCTCGACGAGGGCGACGCTGTCAATGGACACTATCCTCGTCTCCCTCGAGGCCTCTGACACAGACCCAACCGGCGATATCCCGGCGATGGGGCGAAACGTCCGGCGGTACTGCTCGTAGTTCAGTGCCTTGGGACCACCTTGTGAGCTCGCAAGCCAAAGTGGCTCCTCCATCTGCGCCATGCTCATTAGCTCTTCCATTGCAGCCAATGCAAGCTCCAAGAGCATGCTCCTGTCGCTCCCCAGCAGCGCCTCCATGTTCTTGCCCATGGTCGGAGCGACAGCATCCAGTGGGTTGCTGCTGAACCCCGGCAAATAGTCGGGCAAAGCGGAAATAGTCGGAGCGACGACGGAGTTGAACCCCGCGAAGATATTGTTCCCGACTCCAATCTCCAAAACCGAGCTCGGCATGTTCGGAGAGATGTGGCCGGCCAAAGAGGAGACGGACTTCCCCAGAAACTTCTTGGCGATTGCGCACAGCCGGTCGAGCTCTTCCTTTAACCGAGCGTTCTCCAGTCTAAGTTGCAGCCGTTCCACCGAGACATTGCCGAGCATGACCGGACCTCCGCAGTTCTTGCAAGCCGCGCTCTGCGTTGCTTCTCGAATCGCCATGTTCGCCGCCCTCATCTTGTCGTTTTCCTGCCGGAGCTTCGTGTTCTCGAAGCGCTCGATTTGCGTCTGTAATCCATCAACGAGCAAAAGTTCTAAAGGGAACCACAATCCAAGCAACAAAGAGAGGATTTGTGTGTCTCGTATCGTTCCTACCTTCATTTGGGTGCGTCGATTCTGGAACCAGAACTTGACTTGTCTGCTCTCCAAGCATAGCCTCCTGCTCAGTTCCAGCCTTTGCTTCTCATCCGGGTGGGGGCAATCCTTGAACAGACTACAGCATGGAACAGGCGATCAGGAAGAAGAAAAGGCCACAGATTGCCAATGGATTCAAGGATCGGTCTTACGCTTCGAGTTCCTGGATCTGTTGCGGAGTATGGCGGTGGTGTCTCTTTTTCTTGCGAGGATTCTCCTGATCGACGTCGTCACCGGATATGGCTTCCAAGTTGTCGCTCTCCGATCTGCTCTCATTCTCATCGTCCTTGCTCCTCTTGGCCGAACCCACGTCACTGCCACCGCCGACGCCTGCCATCCTGCTCATGTCTATCTGTCCATCCACGTTCGTTTGCTGGCCCAAAAAGCCAAAAAAGAGAAAGCGTCATGAATGAATCGAAGGGAAGGAAACATGGTCCGAGGTTCGGTCTCGTTTACCAGGCCGAGGGAGAGGCGGGGAGAAATGAAGGCAGAGTTTGGGAGCCTCTGGGAGATGAGCTGCGGCGGAGATAACTCTCCGGCGGTCATGGCCGCGTTGCCGTAAGCTAGAGCGCCTCCTGATCTGCCGTCTGATAACCCCCCAAAGCTCATCAAATATCCTTCCTTTTCTTGGTTCTTCTCCCTCCAGACTTGGTCCTCCGTGCTAGCTTGTGCTCTCATAATATTTTCTTTCCTCGCCGACTTGCACTTGTCTGGGGATCGGATCTTTTGCTTTCGCTTGCCCAGAATCAGAATTTTTCTGAGGAATTTAATCGGTTTTAATGATGCATCAATATTGAGTACAGTGAAAGAAAGGGAAAAGATGGATACAGAGAATATACTGTACAGAATTAAGGAAAGAGGCAGAAATGGAGAGAGATCAGAGAAGGCGAAAACCGCAGGCTTTACTGCAAACCAATGCCTCCTCCAACTCCCTCTCCCTCTTTCCTGGTAAAGAAGGAGAAAGAAGACAAGACTTGTGCTGCTGTGTCACCTCTTCCTCTCCCCCTCTTCCCCGGCTCCTCCTATCTACAGCCTGGATCAGAACCCTAACTCACTCGCAGCAGTCCCAATCCCAACCACAAGATCCAATTTTTAACGTGAAAAAGAGCGAAGAATCCGATCTTTGGCTCTCCACTGCACCACCCTTTGGGGCAGAAGAAAGACAAGCAGGGGAGCAAACCCGGAAGCGCCTCAGAGATGCCAGCAGCGGAGAGGGAGACCTCAAACATGAAAACCGGAATTGTGGACTCTTCGGCCTCACAGATAAACAAAAACGACAACCGATCGCTGTTCATTTGACCCCCACAACTCCCTCTCTCCCTCTCTCTCACATCCCTCGTAAAAGATGAAACCAAAAGGAAAGGTCCAAAGCCGACACCGAGATTAAAACAGAAGAGAAGGCCCTTTACACACTCTCGCTAACCCGAAGCGAGAACGAGAGAGAGAGAGAGAGAGAGAGAGCGAGCGGCAGAGCGACCACGTTCTGCACCATGGCAGATCAATAAAAAAGGTTTTGACTATGTCGCAGACGGCAGCAGCGCCCTGCAGTCAAAAACGACCCCTGCGACTTGCAAGACAGCAGTAAAAGAGGGGGAAAAAGCAGACTCCTTTCCATGGCAATTACCTCACTCTTTCACAGGGTAAGAAACGGATCGAATCCAGGAGCCCGGAAAGTGACCGACGGCGACTTCGAACGAGGAGAAGAAGAACAGGGGGGGAGAGCGAGGAGGTGGGGATTAGAGGGGACGAATGCAACGCATGGGGTCTATAAGCTCACCGCGGAGAGCCGAAATGACGGTATCGCCCCCGGCCTCGGTCTTAACAACGACGGTGCATCACAGGATCAGGCGAGCGGCGTCCGTTCGATCGAGATCCTACGGTTGAAACGGCCAGGCCGCGCTACTTTAGGAAGTAGGGGGAGGGGGGAATTGACTGAGGCGGTGACCAGCTTCGAGTTCAGGTTCAGGTGCGACTCACGGTGTGGCGGAGCATCCGGTGAGATTAACTGAACCCACCGCGCGTTGCTTTGCGTGGGCTGCATTCTCGTATTTCTACATCCCCTCCCAATAATAATAATTATAACTATTATCTGTATTTTCGATAAATATTAGTTGGATAAAAATTCTTTGCAAGCTCATTGAGAGGATGCCATTCTAAGCGTTGATTGGGTTGGTTGCATTTATTCTCTTACTTGCCATATTGTTGACATACTTATCGATTAGAAATTAAATATCCATGTATTCATGATTGTTGATTTTTCTTTCTTTGGTTTTATTATTATTATTATTTGTACAAGAAAATTTGGGGGAAAAAGATTTAACTTCTTCAATAATCTTAATGAACAACCGAATACATTATTATTATCATTGTCACTATTATTGCTACTATGTAGAGGGTAGAGGAAAAAAAATCATCGACTATTAATTACTTGATTTTATATGCTAATTAAGAAATAGTAATCTATGAGATCATTGCATGGGTTCTTGTTAATTGAACCATTTATGGTGGCGTGTCAAGTGCTTATTAATTATTTGATCATCTCAAAATTAAATCAAATCACCAATTCATAAGTAAGAATTAGTTGATTTGATTATTGATGCCTAATTAACTCCATGGATGAGGTCTTGCTCTCTCATTTTTTAGGGTTTTCTAGCTATTAAATGACATGCTTTCTTTGTGGTTTAGAACAACAAAATAACAACATTTAGTGAAGCATTGCTGATAAATAAATGTCCATCTCATTATTATCCCAGGCATATAAATATTTTCCTGCCTGAATTTATTATTTGTTGTCTTGAGCAATGACTCCACAATCATGTTAAATAGTTCTAGTTTCAATAAGTTGTCAATTATGATCTCTTAAATGTGTCTCTATTTCTCCTATGTAATTGCATTGATAGAAGTATAAAATCATGGAGAACAAAGGCAATAATAATTAGAACTGTTTTTAAAAGCATTGTGACACTGTTCAAGCTTGATCATTGTGAGAATGGTCAACACTGAGTATAATTAGTGTCACCTCCATTCATTGACACATTATAATACTAAAAAAATGCCAAGTTTATACCAAGTTTTATTTTTCATAAATATGCATTTCATGATAAAAGTATATTTTATGTCCCACTGTTACATTGTAGATAGTTTGTATGATACATGTATTTACCTAACCTTGTGAGGACACATAATTATTGTATTGTCAGTTTCACTATTGTGGATTCATGCAATAACACCAAGGGTAGGGTGCCAACTCAATCTCATGACATGAATAGCATTTATGCCTACATTAGTTATTCCTAAATAGAGCAATCAAATAACAGGGAACCCTAATTTTCCTAGTAATTAATATGGTTAATACCTACCATCAAAGATTGGTGAATGAGTATGCAACCACAACAGGTGTTGCCTAAATGCCTCATGTTGAGCAAAACACACTGTTTAGAACAGTGCAGATGCATGATTTCATCCATCTATCATATGGTCATTACAATTGTCCATAAATGTTGATCCCTTTGTCTTTATGTTTAGTATATATGCAGAGTCATATTGTCTTTGTACAAGCAATTTACAGGTTGTTCCCATAGTCAAATGGACTATTTTGCTCTCAGTCTAATAATGTGGACATGTCAAAATTAAGGGGTATACTAGTCCTTAACTTCTAACTATCTTGTGGTGATATATATATATATATATATATATATATACATATATATATATATATATATATATATATATATAGTAATA